TGACTTTTAATATTTTTCACAACAATTCTGAGTGTAGCAGGCAAATAAAAAAAAGATTCTTCTTTCCATATCGGCGTGATATTTATTCTTCTCTCATTTTCTTCTATCAAACCTCAACGCAACCTTCTCCTTTTTCTTCATATCAATACATCGTCACAAAATCAGTGCATCCTATAAATGCCCACTGCTGAGCAAAGGCCTTTCCACACACGAAGGTTTTAGCATTAATCACTACACTTACTTAAGACGGATTGGCGATTTCAAACTTATAATTAAAAATTATAAGTCCAGGTTTCCTCACGACGTCTTCCTTCGCCGTATATCAGTGGTGTCTAAATAATCATAGAAAGTATATACAACTCGGAAAAAAACACATTGGTACTTGTCAGGTTTCGAATCCGCGCCCTCATGCATGGGAAGCGAGCGTCTTAATCTGCGGCTACCACGACCTTCACATAATAATTCATCTAAATTTCCTTCGGGCCTTTTTCCTTCATATCCATCAGTATATAAATCTATTTCTCTCTTCAACTCATAATTTTCCATTCTCATTACCTACCCATTAGGACTGCAAAGACCAATTAAATCAGCCCTGAGAATTCCATTCTGAGTGACCCATATTAATTCCATATCTAGATTAGTTTGTGGTACACAGTACATACTCGTACCCAGTTCATAGCTTCATCAACTATGCGTCGCTTGCAGATTATCGCTGTGGAATGAATAGGACTAATTTGCCAAGACCCCTAACGAGGAAGATTTTAATTCCAGCTTCTATTTTTGTTGAGGCAATTTTTTCTTGTCATAAATAGGCAGCTATGCTTTTAAGGTTTATTTTTCTTTCCCCTTTTTTCATTTGTTATAACTTGGAAATTAATATACACACATAGGTAAATACTTATTTGTAAAACAGGTTAAAAAGTGTTGAAGAACTGAGAGGGTTTAAAATGAAAGGTACAAAGATATCTTGAGTTCAATTAGGTACTGTCTTTTTTATGGTACAGGTTGGTAGACGAGCAGCCGGATAACCTGATGGTAAGCAATCAGCGCTGCCTATAGACACTCGCAATACCAAAATAGTTACGAGTGCGTTGCCGGCCTTTTAGGGATACGGATTTTGGATATTTAAGGATTAGGAAAGGATGGGGGAGGGGGATGGATTGACTCACTCACACGGCGAAACAAAACGCTGGTGGATGTTTCACGCCGGTTTTCTGTGAGGCCGTGGTATCACTGTCGAGCCGACCCATTCGTGCTGAAGCTTAGGTTCCCACACTGTTTGACAAATACGTAATTATTGATCTCATACCATCCTTGAATCACTAATTAGCTTACCTATAATCACGATAATAGTCTCAATCAAACCTTCCGCATGCCAATTATGACAGACAGATTGACAGGTTACATAATATTAGATGAACAATAAGCTGATTAGGAGTACAACCTTACCTTTTTGGTCGAACAGGTAGTGAAATTATATTGAAAACTTGACTATAATGTAAACAATGGCAAAGTTGGGTAGTTTCTTAGGTCAAAAATAAATTAATTCGACGTTTAAATATAATAAAGTATTGAAAAATAACTATACTTTTATTCTAGATCTATAGATTCACAAAATTTTTAATATATTTTAGATTTTTTTTAAGAAATAAGTACGCTATTTGACGCAAAAATACTATGACGTCATAACTCTATGTATCATACTAAAAGTATCGTTTTTGACATTTGTATAAAAGTATTGAATTTGACTAGTTGGAAACTACCGTATTCTTTGGACATTTGTTTAAAATAGTTTTTTATTATGGTGTATAGTTTACAAACAGGTATTTACATAAATTGATATTAACTAATAAAATAAATTTAAATAATCTTTTTATTTACCTTTTTAATATAAAAAAAGCATGCCAAGAATGTTTAAATTTAGTTAAGTAGGTACCTAAGCCGATAGACCATAAGAGCTGATATTTCTTAAGCGACACTAAAAATAGGCTCTGCCACTCAGTTTTTGTAGTATGTCGTGTGAAGCATACCTATTTTTAAACTGTGTGAACTATTTTTAATCCTCGACGTTATTAAAGCAATATTTTGTCCGATATACCTAGGACAAAAATTAACAAAGTATTCGGTAAAGTCATAGTCAAAAAGTATTTATTTTTAAAATTCTATGGTCTAGTAATTTCGAACCATAAAAAAATAGAACAATAGTCCGTCAGTCTGTCCATGAGTGAAGTTAGGTAACCCTTAATAAACAGTGTTTATTTATTTATTTTATATCACAAATGTAGCCTTATCTTATGTGCTAAGCCCCACAAAACCGTTGTAATGGTTTGACTGTGTAGATACTAAAGGTATTCATAAAGTATCTGATAAAAATAAGCTGTTTTAAAAATATTTCTCTCACCTGACGTAAGGATATGAGATTCCAATGTCTCGCCTCAAGGCATATATTGGAAATATCCAATCGCAGTCAGAGACGCATCGAGGAACGAATACGTGGATACTATGATTGCATTTCAATGTGATTCGCGAGTAAAAACGACGAGTGTATTGCCAACGACGGCATATGTTAGGTTGCCTGAAGGTTCGTTGAAGGTTCGTTTTTATTATTTTATATTATATGGAATTGAATAGATGTTATTGTCTTGTGAGCAAAATATATGTGTTTCATCAAACAGATATGAACAGGCGAGGCTTTTCACACATAATTTTGGCGTTCTAGTTCATATAGTGTTTTTTTATTATAATCATTATTATTACCTATCGCTTCGGCCACAATTACCGAACGCGCTCGAATTATTTTACATTTAGTTGGTACTTTATTACTTTTTAACATTAGTGCAAAAAGTTGGGTATAAATTTGTAAGAAAAAATAACTGAAATAAAACAAAAAACTGTCCAAATAACTGATATCACAGAATCCCTCTTTTCTTTGTAAAAATACGATACTGCTTTATTCAAAAAAGTCTGTTCGTGGTCACAGCTTCAGATAAAGCCGTCAACGGAGACTTTATTAAGTTAGGGCGAAGATTTATTCGGGCCCTTTTTGTTGGAGTTATCCATACCATAAATCCCGTTTTGCCTCTACTAAGCGCTTTATCGGACGGCCATTCTGCACGCAAATCAAATTAAAGGCCAATTAGACAACTCTCCTCTCTAAAACGATGCATGACCCACATACCGAAGAATAGGGACAACACTTCAATATACGAACTATGATAAAAATCTGTACACGACCGTCTGTGACGATTTATGTATCCCATTTTCGTTCCAATATATCGTTAGATACAAAGGTCAAATTAGCGTGCGTGTTATTGACAGGCCCGTTCATTGTTGCTAAATAAACGATTAATCTTAATATTTCATAGTCTTTAGTTTAGTAGGACAATAGGTTAAATAAACAAAGAAAAATACAATTAGGTAAAATGAATCGTTTAATAAATAATTTATGTTTTTATAAGCTCATCTATTTTATTTTATTTGATAAAATAATAAGACAGATTCTTTATAATATTGATGTACAATGCACAATATTTGTGGAAAAAAATTTTGATCGATTATTTTCTGAAATATATTTACAACTGATTACAACATTGAAATAAACAGATAAAATACAATTTGATTCTTATTCCTATTTTAGAAAAGAACAGTTTCAATTTTCAATATTGTAAGTAACTTTTTTGTTGGTCATCTCGCATTGTATTAAATGAATCGACACGCCATACGGAATGTGGCAACATGAAGTTAGAATCCTAAAACTAATATTTACCAAAAAAACAATATTGATCTCTATTGTTCGCAAAACAATGTTTAAATTCGGTCACCTATAAATAGACATTGTAAACAAGACAAATGGAAAATGTAGGGCGAATGAACAATCAAGTTTAACAGTCTCACTATCCTGTCAGCCTCTTTAGTTAATATCATAACAAATTACTCATTTGTTCGCTCGTATTATTATTATTGTTGTTATTTATTATAATTATACACTAGTAAGTTATTAACTCCACGATACTGTCGTGGAATCTTTTGAGATCTCACTCTCATTTATATTTTTAATAATATAATAATAAAATCAGTAAATAAACAAACAGATATGCGTAGATATGTATGTATATGCGTCGTCTCATTATCAGCTTGTACGAGTATATGCATAAGTTTATAAAATTTAATATAGATACGATAAAGTAATACAATGTTGTGTTTTGACAGAAAAAATGTGAGTAATGGATACAGAAATAGCATTTTATTTGTAAACATTATTTTTGTTTGAAGAAGGATGTATAAACATCTCTAGTCTAAAGGAAACTCATTTCATTTAAAAATTTGTCTCAAGCTACCACTCAATATTTCATTTTCTGCTACAAATGTCGAAAGGTAATAAATAATTGGAATGGTTTTAAAAAATGCATGAAACGATTGTGACATCAGAACATGTGTGCATTCGTCTAGCACACGTGTACTTACTTTAGTATGGATTAAACAAAGGCGATTATACAATTAACTTAAATAAAATAACAGTCCATATTGAGGCTCATTTTTGGACGGAGTAAGGTTACAAAGTAATAAAAATACAACAAAGCCTCCATCAGGATTATACACAGAAGTCGTATGCTTTCCACTTAAACACAAAACGTATGTACCAAAAATCCACTCCGGGCTAAATCCACACGAGTCGCGTGTTTCGAATAGCGCGATTCCGATGTAGCACTCTCTAAAAGCTCTTCACGTGCATTTTCGAAGAATTATCGCTTCTTTACACAAGCCTTCCAACTCCACGCTCAAAGGGTTAGGACCCCTCTGCACACGAGCGGCACTTTACTGTCACATTGTTCTGATGACCCCACTGATTGTGCATAGAGGAAAATTTGCTCAACACAGGGTCATCGATAATGTTCTCTTTGAGGATTATCGATTTTACTGTTTACGTCACTCCACGTGGATGCTTGACAGTCACTAACACTTTCATTTGAATGATTGTCTCAATTGTCTGGCAAGCTCACCATGTTTCTGGACAATATTGGACCAACTGCGACACTGAACACGCATTAAGACAACACTCATCAGCTATTTGCCTCTTCAATCTGTCTTTGAACAACATAGAGGCTCTCTTGCCGCGCACATTTGAAAGCCGACCAGACGGCACATCACTGATCCGCATATTCCCAGTACAAATCTGGAATATTAACGTAGACAACGATCTGCTGCACGTGTCCCTGATCACCGTATCCATGGTGAGAGGCTCCCCCAAAATTCTCTCATTTCCCTCAACAATTTCCGTGAACAAAAATACAAGGAATATCGCAGCACCGAACTTCGCGTTTGGAGGGATCATTTTGAGCGGAGTTTAGGTGGTATCGGTTAAGTGTCGGGAAAGAAACTGGCGCTTCCGTCTAGAGTACGATACAAGCGATGTCTCTGAATAAATAGATTCGATAACCTGTGTCAACGGTGACAACAGAACATACAAAAGTTCAAAACAACAAGCGGGAGGGCCCTCGGTGTCAAGACAAGTCTGTAACGATTTGATATTTATAGAATTTAGATAACGAGTTGTTTTTAGAAATTCGTGGTTAGTACAACGGACCCTGATTGTTGCATTGCATGTAGATTTGTCTGTTTAATTATGTCAAATAACATGCGAGATGGTGTACAAAGCATTTGTAATATTTATTGTAGACTTTAGAAACATTTTGTTCATTACTAAAACGTCTGTTGCTTCAGCTTTGACATTTTTAGCTTCCTCACTATTTTCGCTAAAGCCTAGAGGCGACGACTCGTTAGCGCCTTTGACGTTTTAATCAAGTTTCAAAACTATGATATTATTAAACTGAGCCAAATGTCAAAGCACTCGTAAAGTAATTTGATGTAAGTTATATCCTATCTGAACTTTGACTTAACAAAATTCAACTTTAGAACATGTTCTTGATCTTAAATTTTAGAACGAAGTAGTGATTTCCTTGAACTTTATGATTTTGTTTTTTCTAGTAAATGTCCGTTTATTTAAATCGTTATAAACATATTTTACAATATTTTTTTCTTAAAATTTTAATTACTAATTTATATTTTATGATTTAGTTTTATTACATGATTTAATTTTATCATACATAACGTCAATTTCCGCTTTGCCTTTTTATATTATCAATTTTTTATTATGTTGTTACAAATTTTATCATTTCGTAACACATAGAAATATTATCTGCAATCGTGATGACGACATTAATTTTTTAGATTAATTTAAAACAGTAGATACGTATTTTCTTTTCTGACGATTCCGGCCGAAATAAAATAATTTTGACGAGACATTGATTCGAAATATCGTGTGACTACATAATAAAGTACGTTTCACACTTTGCGGTGACGTAGCTAGTTCCTTAGCTTTTTTTATTATGATAGACTGACAAACTAGCAAACAGATTACTTGACCAGCGCCACCCATTGGCATCCGCAACAACGGAGGAGTTACGAGTGCGTTTGCCAACCTTATGAGGATTATGAATTTTGAGATTTTGGGATTGTGGAGGGATCGGAAGAGGGTAAGGATTGGGGCTCTTAACTCCTAACCTTTAACTTTTTTTTATCTAAGTATTGATTTTTTATATGTCAAAGTAATTAAATAATAATGTTTTTTTTTCATTTTCTATAGATTTTTTTCATATTTATTTGGGGGAGGAGAGGGTTCATTAGAACACTTCTCTCGCTCTGGATATGGCGAGACGGAGTGTCAGATTCTATCGATTCGATTCGATCGATTGTAACTTTTTAATAGGACAGCAAAAGGCGAAAACCTGGTTGAATTTTTAAACCCTTACGTCATACTTGTTACTTGTAAATAGTTGCCTCATTTATTTAGGTAGGGATTTTTATTAAGGTATACCTCAACACACTTACTAACTTATACCTTAAGAGTTTCCCACCATTGTGACTTTTTATTTTATTTCGTAATGGTCAGGAATTCGGCCGCTAGCACCTAGCCGTAAGTAATGATGCGACCTACTATGGAGGGCGCCAGCAACTTATTCATTTGGACCTGGAAGACACCCAGCTTATACCTATCGAGGATCACAGAAAGAATTTGACTCCAGCGGTCCGAATTATAAAACTGGAGGCGCTTTTTGCATATTATGGGTGGGATATCTACCATAAAGCGATGATGTTTTGTCGATTGACTGGTAATACGATGGTGGAGAGGACAAGGGGTAGTCAAGGTATGTAACTCCTCCAAACATTCCCTGAAATGTATCCGATAAAAATGGAAGACTCACAACTTAACTTAGTGTGCATTAAAAAAAAGAACAAAGGCTCAGTCCGATCCAAGTCACAAACGTTAATGTTCAACCGTCCCCTGTCTAGACTTGTCCCGATAACAATGTATTATTATCCAATACCGGGCACAATCTGCCTCTGTTATAATTAGCAAATATTATTAGAAATGAAGGACATGCAGTTATTTATGAGTTGTCATGTTATAATGAATCGTGGAATGTACATTGTAGCGAAGAATTCACTTCAAAGATATTTTCGTTTGGGTTTACCGAGTTATACAACATTACTAAACTTGCACATCAAGTAAAATATACACAACAGTATAGTCATTATTTGGGAGAGCTATGTTTCGGCACGAATGGACTCGGTTGACCGGTGTAAAAAAACCAAACCTTATCCCCAATAGGGCGGGGACGCACTAGCAACTCCCCAGGTATCGCGCGCTTTTACCATCAGATATTCCACATGCTCCTTTGCCGTTGATTCACTATTGTTGTATTGTCTATGATTAGTATTACTAATCAGTGTTGCACTATTATTGTCTATGTCGTCATATCACTATAAAGAGGGTGGCCGAGCAAGTGTCGGCCATTGACAATGTAACTCTGGTGCAGTGAGCTGCAGGACTGTGTAACGTATAAATAAAGTCAAGTATCCAAGATCCAAGTCTTTCAATCATATTACATGGTGTCAGAAGTGAAAAGAACAATTTATTTCACGTAAGTCGGTCACAAAAATGGACCAGTCGAGTTCCGAGCCATGCGGCGTGGGCGACCAAGATGGCGTCCAAGGTCTCAACACGAGGATGAAATCATTAAATATTTCGTCGGATTCCACAAATAATAATGCGGAAGCGTGGAAACGGTGGTCGCAGCAACTGGACCTATATCTACTCGCCACGGGTTTAGACAGGGCACCCGAGAAGAGAAAAATAGCCATACTGCTGCATCTTATAGGTGAGAAAGGCCTAAACATTTATAATACATTTAACCTCAACATCGACAAGACCACGCTTGCCGAAGTGAAGCAGAAATTCAATAATTTTTTTGAGCCCCGGAGGAACATAACCATGTGTCGTCACATGTTCTTCACGAGGAGGCAGAAGCAATCCGAGTCCATCGAAGGATTCCTGGCAGACCTGGAAAATAAGAGCCAGGATTGTGAATTCGGAACGCTCAAGGAGTCCCTCATCAGGGATATTTTCATTGCCAATCTGCACATGGACCTGGCACATGTCCGTCAGAGATTGCTTCAGGAGCCTGATCTGACATATCAAAGGATGCGCGAACTGGCGAGAACATTAATCGTCGCACAGCAAGATGCTGAGAAAATCGTCAGTTCCAGCGAGAAACAGGAAAATGTAATGCATCTACGTCGGAGGAGCCGTAGTCGAGGAGATCGTCGACAGCGAGCTTCACCAGTCGGTCGGCAGGGTCCTGGTACGAGGCAGTCTCCCAACCCTGAAAGGCGCACGAGGCCGTGTAGCCGCTGTGGGCAGTCTCATCGATACAAGTGCCCAGCGCAGGGAGTCCAATGCAGGTCATGTAACTTATTTGGTCATTTCGCTAAATTTTGTTTTAAAAATAAAAATGTAAGTCGTTTAGAGTCGTTTAATTCAAATAGTAACAGTAGTCAGGATCATTATTTCATTGGAACATTAAACAGTCATTGTCAAAGTCATATAAAGTCAAATAAAAGTACAAAGTATAGTCACTATAATGTTAGGTCAAATAAAAAGTCAGCCAGTACACAGACGCATTGTCAATCTGAGAAAATCATTCTCATGTCAAATTTCTGTGATGATAGTGGTGATAATGTCATGTCTAAGAGGTCTAAAAAGAACCTCGGTGATGAAAACAGTCACCTGTCTGAGAAATCTATTCTCATGTCATATGGTCACAATATAAACAAATGTTGTGATAGTCAAAGTGTGTATCTCAATGATGAGTACAGACACATGTCTGAGGAATCACCTCACACGCTCACACCACCACATCAAAGTCATCAGTCATTGAACAACATTAATACAGTTCAATCAGAACCTAACATTAACAAAAGTAAACAGTCCTGGAATATTAATTTAAAAGTAGGTAATTTAAAATTTAATTGCATCATAGATTCAGGAGCTGATTTAAACATTATGTCGAAGCAAACTTTTAATTATTTAAAACATAAGCTTAAACAGTTGTCAATTGTCAAAAGTCATATAAATGTCACAGGATTTAGTGGCAAATCAATACCCATTATGGGAAAGGTCAATATTAAATGTAATTTAATATTAAATAATAACAATGTCAGTGAGAACATAGTGTTCATAGTCGCAAATTTAGAGTGTCCCAATGTCTTAGGTCTTCCTACATGTGAAAGGTTAGGAATAATTAAAAGAGTTTTTTCAGTGTCTAAACAAAATTTTTGTCAACAAATTCTAACAAAATACAATGATGTCTTCCAGGGTCTTGGCTGTCTACCTCCTGTCTGTCACCTGAAACTCAAACCTGATGCAGTACCATGTGTGGATCCTCCCAGGAGAGTACCATTTGCGTTGCTTGGAAAACTACGCGAGGAGTTGGATCGCATGGAGAGCATGAAAGTCATAGAAAAAGTCACTAAGCCTACAGAGTGGGTGAATAGTATAGTTATAACTGTAAAAAGTTCAGGTCAGTTACGAATTTGTTTAGATCCTAGAAATTTAAATAAAAATATCATAAGGGAAATATATCCACTTAAGTCAATTGATGAGATAAGATCTCAACTAGTTGGAGCTGTCTGTTTTTCTCATTTAGATGCATTTTCGGGTTTTTGGATGTTAAAATTAGATGAATATAGTTCTAAATTATGTACTTTTCAAACACCATTTGGTAGATATAAATATTTAAGGTTACCTTTTGGAATAAATGCATCATCAGAAATATTTCAAAGAGTTATGATGAATTTGTTTGGTGATTTGGAAGGAGTCTTAATATTCATTGATGACATTCTAGTCTATGGCCCAAATGAGTCTGTACATAATGAGAGATTACATAAAGTCATGCAAAGAGCACGTCAAGTTAATTTAAAATTTAACAAATC